AGTTAGCCACTACCATTTGCCCGTGGGTGCACGCCAAGAAAATGAGCTAGCACGGCAAAATTTAGGCAAATTCAACAAATCTCCTCTCCTGACGGTAAAATACACCGATGAAATGCACAGATGAAAAGTGAAAGTTGAAGAAAATACTAAGCTGTCGTTTTGAAGGAAAAAAAGACAAAAGATCAAGCGACAAATTTGCCCTGGATGAATTAATCACTGTTTTCCTCGCGGCTAGAATCGGCTGAAGGAAAATCGAGCGAGCGAAGATTTAAGGTACATTTTGAGTGTTTTTTATAGAAGAGAAAGTCTGTTTGAAATGTAAATTTATCAATTAGCATTGTGTTATTGACTTTTTGGTCAAGCTGATGCTAAATTCAATCAAATATTTTAGGAAACACGGTCAAATTCGAGACAGCTTTGTTGTGAAGTTTTCACCGCATCGATTAAAAATTTTAGTTGAGTTTAAACGGGCACATTACGCTGGAATAAGCGAATTTCATTTGAGTACAGAAACATTTGGGTTTTCAAATAAAGAAATAATAAAAATAACTTCTGTGTGTATTCTTTTGTTCCTCAGTGTTCATTCATAACAGTCGTTCAGAGAACGGTCGCAAAACAACAGCTTCAGCGCCGGCTGTGTGTCGGCGAATTTCAGTTGCAACTTTGACCGCCTTTCATAGCTGGATTTCCCCAGACAGCTTTCGATACAAAGCTAGTTAATTTCTTTTTAAAATTAGTGTCATCTGTTATTCTAAAGGAATTACAGTCAAATTTTCTCATTTCTACTTTACGTTTATTTAAAAAATTGTCACATAAATAAGCTTGATAATTATTTCATTTATTTAGTTTTACCTTATTTTTTAGAGTCTGTTTATAGTGGTGTTTATGGTGGTGTTTATAGTTGCAGCTATAGTTTTCCCTCAAAGTTTTTACCCTAATATTAAGAGCAAGTAGACAGATGCCATTCAGAATAACAACGAAAAACGTTTTGCAATTTACCTGAAGACGGAGAACGGTTGATTCAGCGAAAGAAAAACTCAAAGGGGCGGGCAGATGGCAGCATACATGAACTCGGACCGATGACTCAACCGAAGGCAAATGGAAAATAATGTTTTTCTCTTTTGATTATGTTATAATAGAAATGGTAAACGTTGCCATTTGTTAAGTATCAAGAGCCATAACGGGACAGAGAGGGAATCTTAAGGCCTTGGCCGAGATATGTGAATTTCACTTAAGTTATTTTTAGAGGTTGTAATTAAACAGAAGTCTAATTCCTGGGACGTCCGCTCATTTTAATTGATTGTGTGAAACGTCATCAAGCCCACGCGCGACTGCCTCAAAGCAAACAATGCAGAATATTGTAATGGAAATTGTTGAATATTGAACATGACTTTTTCGAACGAGATTTACAAGCGTCTAGATTTCGGCATTAATATTTTAGATGAGCCTGATGAGCACATTTCAGATCAAGAAATTGAAGTTAGCGTTGCCACTCGCAAGCGTAGGATAAGTGATGATTTGTCCCAAGAGGACTCAAATTCTGTTTCTTTCGTGAGAAAGCCGTGAAAAGAAGTCCGCTTATGAAAAGAAACAGACGAAAGCCAAAGAATTAACTACAATGTTAAAAATGATGGTGCTTGTTCTAATACGTTTTTCCCTTCTGGCGGGTAGATTACGCTCTGGACGGTTCTAAGTTTTGATTTAACCAATGTGATTTTTGCCGCTTGTTTCACAATGAGAGGTCATGGCACGCATATTGATTTTCTGTAGGATTTTGTTTCTGGTCGGCAGGATTGGCCCTCTGGTGGAAACTTAACGCTTTTTGTTGCGGCTAAATAAGGGTTTTAGGTTGTTTACGTTTCTACTAAGTGCTTCCTGGATCTGTTTCCTGCAATGTTTTGACACGCTGGGCCCACAACCTAGAATTTCAAATAAACTTGACGGGTTTTGTTTGCGTCCTCTGTAGACTGTTCACAGTCCTCTATTTTTCCGTAAGATCGTCGAGATCGAGCGCTTTGCGTTACGGGCTGCCATCTTAGATGAGTGTCAAACTACTTAGGGGGCGGGGGCGGTTTGGGAGGAAGCGAGAAAAATAGAGGGACTGTAATAACATCACTGCAGCTCGCGTTCAGGAGGCGTGACAGGAATTTCACGCCTTTTACTATTCATTAATTAAGAAAATCCGCCAGTGATGAAAAACATGCCAGACACATTTAGCATCGATTACGCGTGTTTACAAATATCTCCTTGGGAAAGAGTGATTTTATAATGTTTCTAGGCCCATTCCTCGAAATAAAATCGGCAAACACACACAAGAAAAACATTTTTCTAATCAAAATACCAAAGCTCCTTCGTGCTTTTGCGCAAGATGTGCCTTGTGGTATGAAAGCGTACGTTTTATGGAAATATCGACTTGTCAACGACTTTTCATGATCAGTGTCGGCAAGTTAAACTAAACCCGATGTCAACGCAAATAAACATCCATTGTCTAATGACCAATTTTTCTCGTCCCCCCACCAGAGCTATAATCCCCGACACCCCCCCCTTCCCCCTCGGTACATTTGAAAATCAAGATGTAGCCGTGACGGTAAGACGCGGTATATCTAAACGATCTCACGAAAAAATAGGGGACTGTGAACAGTCTACGTCCTCTGCAACTGAGGAAACAAGTTCCACATACAATGTTCTGAGCGTCGAGTATTTCTTCGATTAGCCCTTAACTTCGACTGGTTTCCAAATTCCAAAACAGACAGCCAACTGCCCATTGATCCCGATCCAAGGGCCTCATTCCACCGATTGCACTGAGACTTAAAATACACGATCCTAATTTGCGGTCTACAGTCTACATGAAAACGCATTATTATTTTCCACAAGATAAAAATATTCAGTTTTAACATTTTTTTCTCGCTACTTTTCTTCAACTTAAAGGAATTAAGTCCTATGCATTTTGCGACCTAAAAAAGTTTCAAGATTTCTCGCTCGTATATTTATTTCATCGGCACGCACTTTAAACAAGGTAAATTGATGAAACGATCGATAACACCTCCTTTTTTTTTTACCATAATACTAATAGGAGTTGTAAATTCGTTCGAGTTCGCTGTTTGTCTTACCAGTGACTAACTTACTTTCATGGCAGAAAGTTATCCTGTTCTTAACTCCTCCGAATTTTCTGCCAGCTAAACAGTAGTGAAACACTATTCACAGTCCTTGGGTATTAAAAAGACTGAACGAAACGCACACTATGTGCTCGTGAACGTATTTACTTCTGATCACATGTACACGAACTCAGAAATGGTCTTCAGTTCAAGCTATTTATCTCAATGCACAATAATTGACCCTTTTATCAATTACAACCCTATGGTATATTTTTGCCCATAAAATTTACAGTTCGTATTCAAAACACAGTTTAGGAAAATACGGGTCGTGTAAGTCATGTGTATTATGTTTCGAGTTAAATCGATTATAGGCATTTTTAATAAGATCCTATTTTGGGGTGGCTTTAGTTTACACCTACATAAAATGGTATGTATGGCAAGAAACTTTACGCGAGCTGTGAACTTTCAAAGGTTTATCGAAACTCGCTTATGCTGACAGCAATATATCGTGCTTGCTGAGTGGGTGAAGACACAGAATTTAGGAGAAGCATAAAATGGTAACAAGATCATCCACAAACTTCATGATAAAAGCTTAGGAAGATACAGAAAACTGATACAAACAAAAGCAAAACCTCTGGGCCACATTGAAAACAACTGTAAGCTCTACTCAGTCACCAAACCTGATAGCTCCTATTCCCCCCTCCCCCCCGCCCCCGGGTGTTCGTTTTGCTGCACAGACGACCAAAAACCGAAAATATGACTGGGCGTGCCTAATCTCGTACCCAGATCTCACTCTCTTTTACACTGAAAAGCCCGTGGGAGATGTGGGTACGAGATTAGGGCGTGCCATATAACAACAGTCTATATGCAAAGGGTGCTTACCATTTGACTGAAAAATCCGGTTGAGGTGTCGAAAACGTAATGGTAAGCAATTTACCAGTTTACCGCAGAACGCGTTAAGGTTTGAATCCAAAAAAAGGGGCCAAATTGCGAAATTTTCTGTCAAATGATAAGCACCCCTAGAAACCATGCTTGCGAGACTATAACTTATCAGATTGCAGTATTGTATAACTAGTAGAGGTCATAAAAACAAAGGAAGATAAAATCAATGACATCAAAGCATAGAGCCAGAATAGAGAGTTAGACAATAGCTAATTGAAGTAGACTTTTAGACATTTGCACGGTTTTGAAAGCTATCTTGACGGGAAGGCAACCGCGTGAGAAATTACAGTGTTTGTTTGAGAATTAATGTCTAATAATTACGGTAAAACTTTTACTGTAGCCCGGAGAGGTCTAGAAATGAACAGCGTGTGCATTTGGTATAAAGATTTGACATAATTCATTCTTGCGATCACTGAGTCTTATACACTGAATACAGATGGGCTTTGCTCACCTCAGGCAAGTGGTTATGTGCTCTGGTTTAGTCCGTTTACGCATACCCTTATATCTTGCCCACGCGCTGTATGTACGAGAAGAAAAAAAACCTTCCCATTTTTTAGCTCGGCTGTTCCCTTGGAAACGCCCCAGCAATTATCTTTTAAAAGAAATAGGAACATGGTCGAGTACCTTAAACTGAACTTGCACAATTTAGCAACATCCAACAAACGGGCGACGACCACCTCTCTGGAAAGAGGTGGCCATCGTAGATTATTCAAAAGCCAAAATCTTGTTATGTTTAGCTTTCGTAAATATGTTCCCTCAATTCAAAGATAAAAAAAACTTAATTGCTTGACGGCAACACGCTCTTTAGATTAAACTCGCCCAAGTAAACTGAACTGATTCCAAACAGCCATTTCTTAGAAGAGAAACTACTACAATAAAGGGATTATTCATGATTAACATTGCATTCATGAAGTGAATAACTTTTTCCTAGCTCCTTCATACAAAATACCCCGAGTTAACAAGATGAAACCCAAATATGACAGATTTTGGTTGGCAGTTGCCTTGCTCGTGTTCCGGATTGGTCTAACAAAAGCCGCTGGCCAATGTACTCCTGTATCAGCCTCCATTTATGGCATGTACCTTAAAGGACACGCGTTTAAAACAGTCAAGACTACTTTCAATGGAGAGTGCGACTTGAAATGCATGGAGGATCCTAAATGTCAGAGTTATAACGTATTTATAGGGCAAAACTTGTGCGAGCTGAATTTAAGAACAAAGGAAGCCCGACCTGAAGACTTCATACCACAACTGCACCGATACTACATGAAAAGGGGAAATGACCGAGGTAAAGCACTGTTGTAAGTAAAACAGAACAGGTAAAAAAATCAAGGTATTTTAACACTGAACTAAGGATGACACGTTCTAGAGTGTTTAATTGACACAGCATTTTTAAAGCCCGTCACAAACCCCGTTGTGGAAAACGATTTCGTGCAAAAGCGACGAGTTTAACTGTAAATTTTACTCCCCAGTCCTTGGAGAAATTCTCATGTTAAACCGACATTCCTTCGTTTAGATATGAAGAGCGTACGATGTGGCAGCAACGTGTACTTCGATGGACGATTTTTTTAAAACTAATTTCCGTTTTTTAATTATTTAGGATTTAAAATAGCGTTTTTTGCTTCCGACGATGAAAATCAATCTCAGACAACATTAAGTGTGCTGGTGTTAAAACATCTTTTTGGTAGTTCTTCCCGCGGGATTTATATTATGGCAAAGGTGTTTGAGTGTCTACCACTCAAGAAGATGTAGCCATGGTGCGAGTTACAAAAGACTGTTCATTCTTTCCAATCTGCGGACAGTTCGTAATCACGATTTAAATGGCTGCTTCAAGTACACAAAGTTTAGATCTAAATATTGTTTTTTAGTCATTATATTTCTCGTTTTATTCCCTTTCAGTTCTTTTTCTCATCCGCATTTTCCGACCCCCATCCGCCAAACAGATGATATGTGTATAATTTCCGTCCCATTCCATTTTTATTGGTCAATTTTGTACCCTCACTACCCACCCAAAGCCAAGGCTAGTCTAGGTGGGCTTGTCTTTATATAACTTCCACTCAAATCTATATAACGTTAGATTTACAAGAGTGAACAGAAATAATTTTATATGGCCTCGTATGTATTGAGAAAAAAGAAGAAAAAGTAAATTGAAACCCCATTTTCACGTGCAAAAAGCTCGGCACGGCAGTCCAAATGTTTGACTTTTGGGCATGGCATTAGCCATGCACACGACCATAAATGATAGGGTCGGTTATTTAAACGAAACCTAACTTAGCAAATATTTGGACCATCCCACAGATATCTTCCTTAGGGAGTATATTTTAAGAAAATAAGTGCTTTTTTAGTCTACGCCTTATGCTTTCATGAACTTTTTCACCATAAATGGTGTTAAGATAGAAGCCGTTGCGCAAACTGAGAATGGCTAAGAATGCGGTTTCGTTAAACACTGGCTAAACTCCATTTAAATAACTGGCTTCATATGGTGTTGTTTTCTACGCCAGAGAACGGTGCCAATTTCACACTGGAAACCCTTTTATTCCGTTTGTATCTTTATTCCAAATGGCGAGGAAAAAAAAATCGAAACTGTGATTATTTATGGCCGATTATAAGTTCAGAGCGGTACACTGCCATCAACTGAATGACAAAATACATTGCCAAATAAAAAAAGAAAAAAAAAACGATATTGAAAAACGCGGTTTAACTGATATGATTGGAGCTAAAATGCGTGTCAAAACATATAAAAACCCTATTAAGACGTGTGCAAACAGAATACACCGGTCACTTACGGACAATCAAGATGTAATATTTTATCAGTATATTATGCACTGACCACTATTTTTTTATGCAGCACCACTGGGTTCCATTCCAGAGCTTCCTGCTGAATCCTGCGGCGAAATTAAAGCTAGCGAAGGAGATAACATGGAAAACAAGGAATACTGGATATATTCGGATGCAAATGCTGGCAACGCTATCCTAGCTCATTGTAAAGGTAAGTCACTATAAAGATCATGCATTACATAAACCTGATGATTTTGTAGCGTTGATGCATTATACCACTTTTTAAACATACGTCTCACGACATAATAGCTGCGTTCAATTTACAGAATTAACACTGTTTACACAGTGTACTGTTTGCAGTTATCGGAAGATTCGACTTTTGTATGATATGTTTGAAGAGTTGTGCAGACCGAGGAGTTTGTTAGGTTGTTCTTACAACCGCCTCGATCTGCATTATCCTTTAATCGAAGCTCTCCTTGCGACCATTCTCGTAAGAGACCAGCTCTAGTTACGACCACCTTTGTGAAACCCCGTCTGAACTGTGCCTTGAACTTTGTAATGAAAAGCTCTCGTAAGCTACTGCTCCCGTAAACGATCGCGACCACTCAGAGTCTCAATCATATAAATCAACATTTTATTGAAACTGCACACCATATGAATGGTCTAAAAAACTGGACATAAAGTTTAGCACTATCAAAATGAGATATAAAGACCCTCATTAATCATTACTTTCGTTTGTTTTTTCTTTATGAATTGTTAATGAGTTTCGACAGCTCTCTCTTAAGCGACCACCCTCTATTTTTTTTCCATGCGGTCGCGTGCGATAGCTCATTCTCAAAAGCGAGCAGCTCTAGTTACGACCACTTTTCGAATTTCCGAGGTGATCGCTTACGAGAGCTTCGACTGTATTGTTTTATCATTCATTCAAAACATTTCCAACCTCAAAACATGCTTTCCTCTAGGTAACGTCCCCGCCATCAAACCATTTGTCTGTTCCTCGCCAGATTAAGGAAATACAAGGAAATGGAGGGATCTAGCAGATATTCTTTGTATAGCAGATCCCTCGGGTGGTATTTTTGTATATTCTTGCTATGTTTTTAAGGTGGTAGTTCGGCTAAAATCCGACATTTTCTCCAGCTTTACGCATCCATAACAGCTGATCTATCCAGCCGTGCTTCCCTTCCCTTGGTCTGTCGGTATCAATACAACTGAAGTCAATTGTACTAATATCCGAATGCATCTTTAAAATTTGGCCAATGCTAGCTGGCAAAAAAGAATCATTTGGAGGATTTAAGCTAGTCAGAAAAGGGGTTATAATTTGAAAGGAAATTAATGTAGCTTTAAGTCCATCGAGTATTTAAATCATGACAAAATTCCATTAAAGGAAGAGAGACGATATCATATTATGTTCAAGAAAGTAAAAAAAGGTAAACCACACGTTGTAGATGTCTACGGGTTTCCACCCCATCTTAACACTTCACCTTTTATGAAAGTGGACCAGTTCTACTTTCAATGCATTCATTCTTCCACTTGGGGCCTGGAGTAAATTCTTAACTAGAACCTTGTCCCCCTCTGCAAATTGTCGCTCTTTCTTTGTGTTGTCATGCTACACCTGATGCTGTAACAATTGTTGGGTTTCCACGCGCTGTCTGACGTCTGGTTGACTGAGATCCAGTCGCATTCGCAAGCTGCGGTTGAATAGCAGCTCTGCTGGTGTAACTCCGATTGTTGTTTGGGGTGTTGATCTATATACGGCTGAGTTCGGTGTGCACTGTACCTGGCGATCCTTCGAGCTTCTTCATTCCGCCTTTGAAAATACGGACTGACCTCTCCACCATGCCATTAGAAGATGGATACCTAGAGGCTGTTTTCATATGTAAAATTCCATTCTTTAGTCATGAAATCAGGTAATCCATGGGTGAAGTCAGGTAATCCATGGGTGGCAAAAACTTGTCGGAGCTTCTCTATAGTAGCTGTTGCACTTGTGCTAGATGGTACTCGGATATACTTCAATCCACTTGCTATATGTATCAATCACTATAAGAAAAAACTGTTCCCTACATGGCCCTGCATGGTCTATGTGTAAGCGGGACCATGGCTTTTCCGGCCATTCCCAAGGGTGCACAGGTGCAGCAGCAGGTACAGCTCTATGTAGCTGACATACTTACTGATGACTTGACCAAGGCAGTTGACAACTTTGGGAAGTAGCCAGCGTAATAATTCAACGTACCCAGAAAGGCTTGAAGTTCCTTGACATTAGTGGGCACAGGTGCCTCGTGAATGGTTCTGATTTTCCTTTGTACGGGTTATATGCCATCTCTGTTTATGCGATGTCCCGGATAAATTACCTGGTTTTGTAGAAAAACACGCTTCTTCGGCTTAAGTCGAATTCCTGTCTTGTCTAACCATGCCAACACTTCCTTCAGATGTTCCAGGTTATTTTTTCTTGTTTTACTGCCACAAAGATGTCATCAATCCGGACTACCACTTGAAGTATTTTCTGGAGGAGGCGAGGCTTTCGATAGTGCGCTGGTAAATGCCTGGGGCCGAAGAAATGCCATGTGGGTGGCGCTTGTATTTAAAGAGGCCCTTGTGGGTGCTGATGAATGTTTTTGCCTCTGAATCCTTATCTAGCTCCAGCCGTTGGTAAGCTTGAAATAAATCCAGCTTTGTGAATTCCACACCCTCCCTCAAGGTTGCATACAAATCTTCAATCTTTGGGATGGGATAGTTGTCTAACTTTGCTACTTGATTGATTGTTTGCTTGTAATCCCCGAAAATTAGGATAGTACTATCTTCCTTAACAATGGGGACGATGGAGGTGACCCACTTTGAGAATTCGATTGATTTTATAGTTCCTTCATGGACAAGTCGATCCATATTCGTTTTCGTTCTTTTCACGTAGGGCATAGGCTACAGGTCTCGCCTTAAAATGTCGGGGCCTCTCGGTAGGTTCAACAAAAATTTTCACCTTCACTCCTTCTTTTTCGTCGAGATTCTCTTGGACGGTAGATGAGTGTGTCTCCAACATCTCATTTAAGTCCCTATCCATGGTGGTTAAATGAAAAATCTGACTCCAGTTTAGGGAAATATACTGGAGCCAGTTACGATCACCCTCTCCGCTACTTACGACTACTGGTAAACTACCTTTAAACCTATTGTATTCTACATCCAACTCACATTCCTCCACTACAGGAATAACCTCCCCGGTATAGGTACGCAAAACAATGTTCGCAACATTCAGTTTCAACGCTCTCTCTGACTGGGCCAAATTATGGAACGTTTTCTCATGAACAACAGTTGTTGATGCCCCGATATCAATTTCCACAGTAACATTCACTCCATTCAATAGCACTGTCACCATATAAGGGTTACGGCCTCTACTCGACCCCACACAAAACAGTTGGCCATACACATCTCCCTCCTCCCCAGTATCGTCATCATAACAATCAGCGACATCTTCTCACTGGCGTACCGTAAATGACCTAATAAACGCCCGGGGCGTCTATTTCATTTTAGGGGTCCAAGCAGGTGTAGTGTATTGAGCAAGCGGTTGACATTGTGAGCATGCGCACTTATGCGCGCGTTTGTACCATGTGCTTTGATTTGCAATAAACCGAAAACGTGACAGTGGCGGCGAGGATGGGATAGTAAGAAAAACGTCGAAAATATGACAAGAGAAACTGGAAACTTATGTGGAACGGGTGGAACAGTTTTTTCTTAGAAAACAACATCTAAGAGGACCGCTAAGTGCCAACCTAATTAAGCTTGATCGGGAGAAAAACGTACACATTGTTGAGGGATCTTCTCTCACCAGATAAACCAGCCACGAAGAGCTTCCAGGAGGTCATCACGACCCTTTAGCAACTCTTAAGTCCTAAACCATTGGAAATAGCAGAACGCTTTCGTTTTTATAACGGAAATCAACCAGGAGAAACCATGTTGGCCTACGTAGCAGACCTGAAGAAACTAGCGACTCACTGCAACTTTGGCGCGAACCTTAGAGAAGCTTTACGAGATACATTGGTCTAAGGCCTTCAAAATGACCAGATATAAACGTTTCGCTTTCAGAAGCAAAACTTAAATATCAAAGCTTTGGCGATAGCCGTAGCAATAGAAATTGGCATTCGTGATGCTCCGGAAATGCAAAGTGAGCTGCACGAAGAACCTCGCGTTGACAAGATCTCAGATAACAGAAAACCACCGCCACCGTTATCGCCGCTGCCGAACCCCACACCTAAAGTTTGTTATTGATGCGGAGGAGACTCGCACGCCACCCACAGTTGCAGATTCAAGGACCAGACATGTTATCATTGTGGAAAGGTGGGCTATATTTCAAGAGTTAGTTGCTCGAAACAACATGGTAAGCCAAAGCAACCACCCAAAACACCGCCGAACACTGAAGTCCACCCTGTTGAGTACAGTGAAAGCGATGAGTTTAAAGATGTTTTAGGAAGCACAGAGCTACAGAATGTGTGCAAACCGAGCAGTAATGTAATCTGGGTCGATCTGAAAGCAGAAGGGAAACCGCTGAAAATGAAACCGGACACGGGTTGGGCTGTTTTCACATGATTTGTACGTGAGAAATTTAACGACAAACCCTTGAATACAACTGAACTCACGTTGAAGACCTACACGCGAAAAACATTTTTCTAGTCGGAGTGCTTTAGGCAAATGTCGAGTACAAAAATCAGCCAACTTAACTGTTGGATCTTTATGTGGTTAAGAATAAGGGCCCTGTTTTGGTGGAAAGGGATTGGCTCCAAAAGATACTCCTCGATTGGTACAGTATTAAATCACTGGAAGTTTCACAAGCCCCACCGATTGCTAGAGAGCGTCTGCAGTCCATGCTAGACAAATACTCGATGTTTTTGAAGATAAACTTGGAACATTCAAATCGGCTAAGGCAAAACTAACCCTCAAATAAGATAGCCAAGCTCATTTCTGTAAAGCTCGTGATTTGCCTTGTGCCTTGAGACCTAAGGTTGAAGAAGAACTGAGAAGACTTCAAAAGGTGAGGGTATTCTCACGAGAGTTGTGTAAAGTGATTGGGCAACGCCCATTGTACCTGTCCCAAAGAAAGATGGATCTGACAGGATCTGTGATGATTACAAATGTACGGTGAACCCAGAACTACAAGCTGAGCAGTATCCCTTACCCCGCATTGAAGATATCTTTGCAAAGCTTGCTGGCGGGCAGAAATTCTCAAAGATTGACCTTCGTCAGGCATACCACAAACTAGAGATGTAGGGAGAGTCAATGAAATACCTCACTATCAACACGCACATGGGTCTGTTTCAGTACAACAGACTGATGTTCGGCATCATATCAGCAACTGCTGTCTGACAGCGCACCATTGATCAACTGCTGAAAGGAACATCTGGCCAGGCTATATCCTTAACGATTTGATAATCACTGGCAAGGATGATGAAGAACACCTGGCTAACTTAGAAGAAGTCCGGCGACGACTTCAGCTTCATGGGTTGAGAGCAATCAAGGCAAAATGTTGAGAAGATAACTTATTGTGGACATGACATTGAAAGGATGGCTTACACAGGGCAGCAGAGAAAGAAGAAGCGGTATTGAAAGCACCACGTCCAAACGACGTAGCTGAAGTGAGATCTTTCTTCGGGTTAATCAATTACTACCACAGGTTCTTGCCTAGCCCGTCGACAGCAGTACATCCCATGACCCAACTTTTGGAGAGGAATCTCCCCTGGAAATGGACAGAACAGTTGGAGGCAGCATTCCGCAAAGTAAAAGGAATGATCTTTTCAGAGAAAGTGCTAACAGATTATGATCCCAGCCTGCCGCTAAGGCTTGCTTGTGATGCATCCCTTGTAGACATTGAGGCAGTCCTGTCCCACGTGATGAGGGACGGTACCGAGCGACCTATAGCCTTTGCTTTAAGGACATTTACCAAAACGGAGCAAAGGTATTCACAGATTGACAAAGAAGCCTTGTCAATAATCTGGGGAAAAAAGAAGTTTCATATGTATTTGTTTGGCCGCTCGTCCAACTTGTACACAGATCATCAGCCGTTAACGTCAATCTTTCATACGCGGAAAAGCATCCTTGTGGTCACTGCAGCTCGACTGCAACGTTATGCCTTGTTCCTGGCGGGCGTTGATTACACCGCTGAATACAAAAACGCTAAGGTCCACAGTAATGCCGCTGGTCTTTCCCGCCTACCACTCGTAAGGGAAACCAGAGATAAAGAAATTGTCGACCCTGTGGGAGTATTCAGTTTGATGCAGTTTGATCCACTGTCAGTAACAGTGGAAAACGTGAGGCGAGAAACGCAGAGTGAGATCCTGTTTTGGCTCAGGTGTTTGAAATGTCCAGTAAAGGATGGCCGCACAACCTTGATCCTGCACTCAACCCCTATATTGTTCGTAAAGATGAGATCACATTACAATCAGCCTGTCTGATGTGGAGAATAAGAGTCATAATACCTCCGAAGTTGCACCCTCAAGTTCTCGAGGAACTTCATCAGAGACATACGGGAGTCATGAAGATGAAGGCCCTAATCCGAAGTTATATCTGGTGGCCCTGGAATCGACAAGGAAATTGAAATGAATATTAAGTCCTGCTTAGGTTGGCAACCAACACAGAGAGTACCCAGTACAGTGCCAGTACATCCATGGGAGTGACCTTCATCACCCTGGCAACGAATTCATATTGCTTTCGCGATTCCTTACATGAACAGCATGTTCTTGGTGGTAGTGGATGCTCATTCAAGATGGCTAGAGATAGAGAGGATGAATACTACAACCTTAGAGACGACCATTGAAACTCTACAGAAATTAGTTGCCAGGTATGGAATAACAGCCCAGCTAGTAAGCGATAACGGGTCTCAATTCACATCAGAAGTGTTTCAGCAATTCCTTACGAAAAACGGAATCAAACACATAACTTCAGGCCCTTACCAACCTGCCACCAACGGACTGGCAGAATGCGTTGTCGGAAGTTTCAAAAATGCGATGAAGAGCGAAACCGAAGTGAAATCCATGAACCTTAAGTTGGGAAGATTTTTGCTGGCGCATAGGAACACTCCCCACTCAACCACTGGAGAGCCACTATCCCAGTTGTTCTTTGAAAGAAGACTACGCACTCGACTGGCCTATTGACCAGATCTCAGCGTCCAGAGGAGCAACCGTCAGATACACCAGACTGTTGCCAGGGGTGATTCTGTAACGCAGAATTTTTCCATCGGCCAGAGAGTAATAGCACGAAATTACAATGGAAAGTCATAGTGGGTACTGTCTAATGAAATAGAGATTGAACCTAATTTATTTTGGCGTCGACACGTAGACCAAATCGAAGATTATATGTCCCTGTTGTAGACAGCTACACGCCAGTTATCCAGCCCTTACCGTTTCCTCCCCCAGTCGAGAACCATGGTGACCTTGTAGCTGAGCCGTCCGAGCAGACAGAAGTTGTCCTAAGAGAAACAGATTGTCAGCCGTCCAAACCAGCGGCTGAATTTTTAGTCCGCAGCCCGTCGAGCCAGATTGAACCTGTTCCTATTAGACGATACCTTACCAGAGAGCGAAAGCCCCCAGCTCGGATGGACCTTTGAACTTTGAACTTGCTTTTTCTTAGGGTTCAGACTTTATTGTTAAGAGTAACATGTTGTGTTCAGTAAGTTGTAGGGTAAGAGACTGGCTTAAGGGGGAGGAGTTGTAGTGTATTGAGCCAGCGGTTGACATTGTGAGCATGCATGCGCGCGTTTGTACCGTGTGCTTTGATTCGCAATAAACCGAATACATGACAGCGGGGGCGTTTAATAGACAGGAAGCGTTTAAAAGAGAGATGCGTTTATTCTCATAACTGTAATAAAGCTCAACAAAGCAAATATGTTTTCGGCAAAATATCAAGTGAGTTCAAAAATAGCCGGAATATCCACTTCATCAAAATTTATCAATTGATACGTTTAAGCCGTCTAGAGATCCTTATTGCCCTTTCAAATCCCAACATCGATATCAGAATCCTCGCTCAGGGTTACTGTGTTGCCCTCGTTAGTCTATCCTTACTTTGAACTTGACAATTAAGCAAGATGAAATAAGCGAAGCTTTGTTAATCAAGCAAGAAACTGAAAGATTTGAATGACTTTGCTCCTTTTTGCTTATCCGTAGTATTTCGGAGTAATTTTCAGAGTGGCGTCTATTAGACAGGGGGCGTTATTAGAGAGGGGCGTCTAATACAATTTTAACAGCGTAAAGGAGGCGTTTATTAAATATGAGGCGTTTATTTAGAAGTGGGAGTTTATCAGGTTATTTACAGTAAGTTACCTGACCTCTGCTGACAAGGATATCCCTTCTGATCGGCTCAAAACTTTGCTTCTCACCCCTTGACTGACTTCTGTTGCAATTTGGACATTCATCCGCAATATAACCTTTTTGCTTGCAATAAAAACAGTTCAGTTCCTTACACCTGCACGTTTGTGTACTATGATTTCTTCGGCACCTAACACAAGGAGCTTTGTACCGCATGAGTCGTCTGTCAGCCCCTTGCGCTTGTACCGTGACCTTGTTGCTGTCTCTGATTCCATGGTTTCCTGAAGCACTGCCATATTTCGTGAAGTAATTTCCATCGAGGTTGCAATTTCATGCGCCTTCTGAAATGTCAAATCCTTTTCTACAAGAAGTGGTCACTGAATCTTTTCATCCCGAATTCCATACACAATCCTGTCCCTTAGCATCGTGTTAAGTGTATCCCTATACTCACAATGTTCGGCCAAATTCCTCAGCGCCGCCACAAAATTAGCCTGTGTACAGACGCCCCCCTCCCCTCTCCCCGATTTTTTTATGAGGGCAGGGGCGGTCTGTAAACAGGCTACCACAAAAGTGCTACCGAATCTCCTTCGTTGCGAAATCGGTTGTTTAACTTTAACCTTTGAACGATTTCCGACGATGTTGGAGCCAGATGATTCTGAATAAGCTTAACTAGCTCTTGGTAAGACTTTTCTCCCGGTTTTGCTGGTGCTAGAAGATCACACATTGACTTATTAATCTTGCTTTCACACACTCTCGACAAGATCGCACGCCCGCCGTTTTGCCTTGTCACTCGCGGTCTCCTCGCCAATGCCATTGGCTTCAAAATAATGTCCTAAGCGCTCCGTATATTTCACTTACACACGTCACGCGAAGTCACGCAATACATTACATTTATATGAGGTTTATATGAGGCTCTGCGCATGTTCTGGTACTGTGCAGACATGTGTTATTGAGCTCCGCCCTAGTAGTGAAATTTCGTGAAATCTTGAGTGAAATTTTGATAATGACTCGAAGGTCAAATTCAAATCCCACTGTCAAATCCCTTCGAGAAGAAAACGAAGCTTTGAAGAAAGAAATAGAAAGTCTGAAGAGTGAATTTAAACTGATCTCATCTGCTCTTAAGTCTCATGAATCTTCGCATGGCGGCCATAAACCACACCCTGACACGGAAAGCGCTCAAAACATGGCGGCATTGCATGTCGAGCAGAGAGATCTCTTAACTTCTCAGGAGATGAATACGACGATCTTAATGCAAACTGTAAAGACACTAAACAATTAATCTCGCTCCTATCGACACGTTTATCTGGGTTATCCGAGAAGGCGGAATTGCTCGCGAAACAAATCGATTAAGCCCAAGAATACAGCTACTCGTTCAATGTTAAACTCTTTAATAGGAATCCCTGAGCCGAAGACAAGGGAGTCAGCCATGGAAACAACTGAGCTCTGTGTACTTCGAGATATTGACATTGCCCATCGAGTTCCACCGAGGGACGCCACCGAATGGCGCTTAAAACCTATCATCTTAAATAAATAAATAAATAAATAATGATTTGGAGATAGCACATCCACAAAGTGGTTCTTCGTCTACCTGATTCCTGGTCGAACTGGAATTTGGAAATGTTGGTTTTTGAGGAGAGGGGAAAACCGTAGTACCCAGAGAAAAACTTCTCGGAGCAAAGGAGAGAACCAACAACAAACTCAACCCGCCTATGGCGTCGACGCCGGGATCTGCAAGTTCATCATCGATCATCTGCAAGTTTATGTGACGCCTGGCTCGCGAAGGTGTCACTGAGCTACGACGGGAAATAAGAAATGTGGTTACAAGGGATATCGGCCTGCCTGAGGAGACAGATCTAACTAATGCTGGTATTTACGAGCACTGAACACTAAAAAGGCAACAGTTGTTTAATGATGCTAAGCAGTTTAAGAATCGCTTCAACTTCAGCTTCTGCTGGTACAAAAACTCTGTCTTCTGGCTGCAAAAAGACTCCCTCCCAGTTAAGATTAAAGACACGTGCGACCTTATCATTTTCGCTTAACTTTGAAAAACGGATTTTAACTTCGTATTTCTTTTTTCGTTTTCGCATCACTTTGAAAAACGGATAATAAGGTGGCTGAACACAGTTTTGGCAGTTTGTGAGTATATGTCATTTGCCAAATCATGGCAAGAGAAAGGTTGCAGCTCACAAGCTGGAACTTGGCAAGTGAAAAATATACTGATGAAAGATCTTGCTTGACAGTAAAATGTGACGTTTTCGTAGTTTCCATGGCAACATGAACGATTGAATACAACCTTAAAATTTCACTTTTTGCTCAGTTTATATAAAATTCGCTCATTAGATTTTCCTATAAACTTGCACACAGTTTGCTATAATTAATCATTACCATTTGAAACTTATTTGATCAAACTTTAACCGACGGGTTTTTAGATAATCAATGATAAAATTGTGCTGTAATTATTAAATGTGTCACAAAGTTCGTCTGTTTAACTTTCATTTTAAAGTTCTCGTTATTTAAAATACGATAAAAGTAAGAATTCTGAGTTAAGGGGATGACCGGGGTAATGAGGGGCCTTTCACTTCATAATCACTCCATTTTTATTCCCCGGTAGGCGGGAGATACGCTAGAAATCCCGATCTTTGCCTCCCTGACCGGGGAATAAGCAGGGCAGTCACTCTGTGGTAAGCGTTCCCATTTTCGCGCCGCGTAGTAATTTTGCATACATTTTTATCGCTTCTCGCAGCTGAAGAAATACATGTATGCTTTGTAAAGTGTCTTTTGACGCGGCTTACCCAAGACACGTCTTAAATAATACACAAACGGTACCATTTATACGAGCATAGAAGGAGTGTCTTAGCTGAGTCCCGTTTTATTTAAGTCTTGAACCCCTTTTTATGTGCCACTTATAGGAGAAGTTAACTAGACGCGTCTTATTTTTCCCCGTTCAAGTGGCTCAATTGTTTAATAACTTATGATGTAGTAATTTGTTGTATCCTGGAAATGACGACAAGAAAGACACTATGGAATGATTGGGTCATTCTACAGAAACTCCAGAAGACTGTAAAACTTGATCTGTAATTTTTGTTATCTCGCATTTTGTGATTTCAAGTTGTAAAGTGTTCAAATGTTCGTCATTTTCCTTCTCCATCGAGGATATGCAAGTGTTGCAATAGCTGCGTATTTTTTCGCGGCTATCATCACATCATTTGTCATCCGTTGTTGAAAAAGGTAGTACCGCGTGTGTGTAAGACATATCATTGGGGAGGGAGGTGGGGGAAGTTTACTAGTCACTTTGGCCCCGGGGAGAGGAAAATTCATGAATGCCCCGGTCAACCCTGAGGGGGTGGCCGGGGCTTCAAATGACTGTCCTGTTTTTCAAGTCATGCAAAAATGACAAACGAAATTCAGATCTGTTTTTCAAAGTGATGAGAAAACGAGAAACGAAAAACGAAATTCATATCCGTTTTTCATAGTGATGCGAAAACGAAAAACGAAAACTGAAATTCATAGTCTTTTTCAAAGTGATGCGAAAACGAAAAACAAAATACGAAGTTCAAACCGTTTTTCAAAGTTAGGCGAAAACGAAAAACAAAAAGCAAAATTCAAATCTGTTTTTCAATGTCATGCGAAAAAGAAAAATGGAAATGGCACTTGAATTCCGTTTTCCCATGCCATCGTAAAACGGTTGGCACTAAGGTACACGCATTCCCAACCACCAAGTCAAACTTTTCGACCATTAACTTAACTTACGTTAAGTACTTGGAAGTGCTCATTGATAACAATTTGACTTGGAAGCAACACATTAATTATATTAATGAAAAAAGTTAGTAAAACAGTTGGAATAATTGCTAGACTCAGACACTTTGTACCATTGAATACCCTCAAGACTATTTATAAAGCCCTCCTTTCCTCTTATTTGTCATATGGTATAGTCGCCTGGGGACAGGCGGCCAAGACTCATGCTAACCAACCGTTTTCATGCAAAAGCGTGCCCTTTCTTTGACGACTTAGGCCATTATAAAGCTCACACGATTTCTTTTTTTTTGTCCTCTAATATCCTTTTTTTAAGCATGTTCTATTTCAAATCAGTTGCTATTCTCATATCACAAACAATTTAGCACCACAGAATATTTTACGTTTATTCAACACTACCGATCAAGTACAGGCGTCCGAGCATTAGAGATCTCCCAAAACAAAGCTTCAAAAAGAAAATAAATGACTGCCTACTTCAAATCTTTTCACAAACAAATGACTTTCCTGATCTACTTACCTTTTTTAAACATTTTCAAAATCGTCCGTAATTCACCTACTTGTTATCTTTGCAATCGTCGTAATAGTGTACTTGTAAGCTGCTGACTGATATTATGTATTCCAGTTCATCTCAGCATTGTTTTTAACGTAACCTTTCTTGTGTTCTTTACCTTTTGTACAACTTAGTATATTTATGTAAACTTAAACAACTTTTGTTGACCTGATAATTTAATATGATACCAGTTGGAGTGCGTATTTTGTTTTATATAGACACTGCCGACCTAGACTAGCCTTTGCTATTTGCTATGAAATGAGACTTTCTTTCATAAATTTGCGAGATGAAAGAAAAAAACGGGTATCTGCAATCGACGACAAAATTAGTGGAGACACTTCGCCCTAAAGGGGCTATCTGACGCTTTACTGCCTTCCAAAGCTTTTCCTCCTCCACCCCCTCCATGTAATGTTGTGCCGCTGTTCGAGCTACCTATAGAAAACAACAAAGACCCCAACTTTGAATGAAGGGGAAGGGGGAAGGGGTGTGGATTTGTCTCAGTCTCAGTAATTTTGTCGCCGATTGTGGATTTGGTCATGAGTGCGGCTTAAAAGTGCCATTACGACCTAATTGCTATATTCAAGTGCCTCCTTAACAACGTTGGAGAAGTCACCGGGACACTCGAAGCTTGAGCCTAGGGATATCAGATCCGAGAATCCTCCGTCATGAAACACAACCGGACATAGACCGGCCTGCAAGACATGAAAGCTTAAGAGAGAGGAGAAGTGTGAGGTCACGTTACCATGGTAGCACTATTTCTGGATGACAACAAAATCAACAACGACGGCGACGGCAAGGAGAACGGCAAAAACTAATATGCTCATAATTAGTCCGGAATATCCCTAAATTTAGGGACAGGGCAAACTGGTCACGCAACACCGTTCAACCAATGAGAAGGCTCGCTTTTGTTTATCAAAACATCGACCAAGTGGTCAAAAATTTTTCATAATGGCGGACAGAGGCGGACAGAGCATTGTTATTTCGTTTTCATTTTAACAGACGCTTACAGTACTCGTCTAGGTTTCACATTATTTCAAAGAAAACATTTGATACAAGAGAATAAGAGTATTTTTCATTGCAAGGAATCTTTGCGGTGTTCGAACCGATCGCAGCGGTCGTGGCTTCACTGGCATGGCTAGCAAGATTTTTGACAGAAGCAAACTGGTCCCGTGTAAAAATAGTCGTAGAGAGTGTATGAAAATTTCTTGAAATCATACAAGACAGGAATGGTACCACCTATTAACTTCTACAGGACAAGAGTCAAAGACCAAGTCATCATAACAAGAGTAGTAGTTCAAATTTAATAATTTTTCTTGTTTCGTGTTGACAGCACACATGGACTTCATGCATCTGGTGCTTTCTTTGCTTGCTGTCTTACCTGCAAGGTTAAAATCCAACCCAGATTATCAGTGTTCAATGAGTAACTTGCCTTCTTTCTTTGATTTTTTTTAACAGTGGATGAACGTTTGGAGAATCTAACAGAAAATAAATCTTTCCAGAGTTGGCTAAGTTCAGAAACAAGGTGGTTGGTATCTACCTTGCGCTTATGATCTTTAATTACATCTCGGATCAACAAAGTGAGGCGAGATGTCGGACGTGAATATCCATAAGACTATAAATAAGCTTTCCTTGAAAAGAAAAATGGCAAAGGCTAGTATTAATGCGAAAAGAAGTAATAACATGGCTCTGCCATGTCTGCGTGAAACCCGGGAGTGGAACACGTGTTTTGGATCTCGGAATTAAAAAATTGTCTACCAAAATTTTAGGTTGTCTACCATCCCCACGTTCAACATCATAAAAGTTAATCGATATGACAGTCGAGGAAAAATATCTAGAACTTCGTAAAAAATCTATGAATCCAAAAAAATAATAGATACTTGTTCACCTACCTTAAAAACTGACCAAAATCTCGCCTGCATCGCGTTGTTTAAAAGGAGAAATAAGCCACAAAATGTGCTGAATATTTCACGAGGCACTTCCAATATGGCTCCCGATATGCAGCAATCTTTAATAAATCATGAAAAGTCTTCGAAATATGCCTGAGAGCCTCGAAACAGTGAACTCTGGTCTTATCCGCCATTTTCCTCAAGAACAATAGCTTCATGACGTCACAATTGTCCCTAAATTTAGGGATATTCCGGAGTGATAATTACAAACAACAACTTTGCATGTACATCACGCTATTTTGTACATTTTTTTGCCGTCGTTGCACCACTACGACTTGGAACTTCCCAATTTCACGAGCCCGCTTTACGGAGTAGGTAAACACAACACAAAAATAGTTGCTTTCTTTTTCTAAACTTAGATAACGATAGATACAGTCCGAAAGAAAATTTCGCCAAGATTTGCCAAATTAAATGAAATTGAATAAGATCGGTGAAGTTTGAAATATTGCGAATAGACTTTTAAGTGACTTTTTCTGTTTGTTGTCATCCAAAAATTTTGCTTCCATGGCAACTGACGTAACGACTTCTCCTCTCTATTTACTATCAAACTTCAAGTAAAGGCAAACCTGTTGGTCACATGATCACCTGTGTAACTTCGCTGCAAACGTTCCAAAGACTCTGAGGAAATATTAGTGTGACTTAAATCACCTTGAGTTAGGAAATTTGGTGTAATATATCTTTTCCAGTGCAAGGAAACAACATTTATAATTGTTTGTCATGTTCGTTACGGTATGGCTTGCTGTTCTGGGACACCTTTCTGTGCTGATCCCCTTTCACTCATTTAGTGATCAACTTTAACGTATTTTCTTGCATTCCATTTAGACGCTTGGCAGAAATTAAACACAGATCCTGTTTGTTATGGAGCTCGAAATGACCGATTTGGCCCATTTAGGATCCCAAAGACTGGACTTGTCAGGACAATGAAGCTAGTGCACAAATCAGGTTCGCTACGTTGTAATCCAATAGACCCTGACTCCTACTGGGGATGCACTTTCTTTCGTTACAACAACAGTCTCCTGACAATCATCACGAATGAAAAAGGAGAAGCTATTTTGCCAAGCACTGCAGACATGGAAGAAGCATTTCCAACAGGCTATTCATGTACTGAAAAGCATTTCTATCATCTTGATGGTATTGATCACAAAACACCAGAGTTGGTTTTTCGCAACCTTTCAAACCCGTTGTCTCTCTCACGTGGCCAAGAGTTGCGCATTTGGTATGGACAGGACTGGAAAAATTGTTCAGAGGATGGCAATAATGGGACAATTTGTGTCGATGTGTTTGCATTGTATATTTAGACGGTAACAACACTGGAAAAACTTTTTTGCATGCCCGCAAGGATTTACAGTACTGAAATAAAATAAGAAGTAAAATAATTCTTAACTATTGATCTTAATAACAGTTACAACGAATCATTGGTAATTGATCAAAAATAATATAGAACGTAACAAAAAATACCTTGATTTAGTTAACTCTTCATTGACACACAAGCAGTGTTAGTTGTAAATGTTTGGCACTACGTGTAAATCAATAGATTACGAGGTTTACATAATAATAATCATATGAGCTATCTGATCGTAGGATATCAGACTGTGTTTTAGTTAACATTTCAAAAACGAGTGCGAGGGTTTCATCAGAAAACATTTGAAACCACGACGCCGCAGGCCCAATGGTTTTTAATCATTGTTTTCCAGCGTTAGGAAACCTGATGAAACCCGAAGCACGAGTTTTTGAAATTTCTTCTCCCACAAATTTTTTTTTAGTAGGAATTGTCATTTTGAGGACTTTTCGCAATTTAATAATTTATTTGGGGTGTGGAATGTGATTTGGTCACCTGCTTGTTACTTGCTGCTCTGTTGTAGTAATTTTTGTATAATTATGCCAAATGTTGCTACCTCGCTGTTTGTTAGCTCCGAACAAACTTGTTGCTTTAGCAAGGCAGATAACAGAGTGCGGATTTAGATCTTCTGAAACTTGTGAAGAAGAGGAGACATATGTGGTCTATTTTAAAATGATAGAAAGTAATTACGATAAGGCGGAGAAAAATTGATTCTAACGTCAGTGGGGAGGGTGCGTTCCTTTGAGATGATCCGGATCAGGATCAGTGATCCGAGATCATTCGGATCATATATTGTAGATCAAATGAACCGATGAATCTACTCTGAACAAGGATTCATCGGTTCATTTGATCTACCATGATTCGAGTGATCTATGATCAGTGATCCTGATCCAGATCATCCCAAAGGAACGCACCCATGCAGATGAACCGATGAATCCATTCTGGGCAAGGATTCATCGGTTCATATAAGGTGTGTTCCTTTCGGCGAATCCAAAAACGGATTTTTGATCCTAGATTTGCCAGATTTCTCGGTCGAAAGGAACGTGAAATCCGAAATTGGATTTGTAACCTTTGTAACCTTTCGCCAACGCGTGCAATATGCACGACAGCCTCTCAAAAAATGACGTGTTTTCTACTGTTTGACAAATTATGCGATTATACCGTGCAGAATTTAGTGGTCGGCAGTTCGAATAGCGATGATGGAACATATAAAACAGACAAAGAAAGAAGCGCATTAAAATTGAAAATTATCTAAAGAATGTCGGCCAGTTTGATCCAGTTCCATAGCTCGGATTTTTTTTATGTAGCACGATCGAATGCCTGTCGCGTCTACAAGCGAGTTCTTGTAGTTAGATAGCAGTTCATTTGTTATTTCTGATTTCAAGCAATCTTTAGAGACAAATGGTCAGTATATGGATATTTTAATGTGCCAGGAACAATCTTCTAATGTTTTCAGATGTTTTGGGGCAAATGACCGCAACGAGGAAACTCTAGGGCCTCTATGGGAATACTTTAACTGGAAATACCGCTGGATCATCTGACTAATTTCGGATCCACTGTGAATGGAACAGCGTAGATCACTAATCCGCTAATCTGGATTTGGATTCTTCGGATTTCAAATCCAGTGAATCCTTTTTCAAAAAGGATTCACCAGATCAAAAATCCGGATTTGGATTTGCCGAAAGGAACGCGAAATCCGTTTTTAGATCTAAAATCCGTTTTTGGATTCACCGAAAGGAACACACCCATATAGTCTACCATGATCCGAGTGATCTCGGATCACTGATCCTGATCCGGATCATCCCAAAGGAACGCACCCTCAGTTAGTTAGTAAGTGTACAGGTAAAGTTGAAAGAGAACCGAAAGACGAGGTCGCCACCATTAAGTGAGAATTTGATTCAGATAAGAATAGCTCTTTCCGTTTTAGGAACTTTAATAACTGTACCGTTACCTTAAACGCCATCAGTAAATAAGCTTGGTTTAAACTATGTACAACTGTAAAAATGGTTAAATAAATATTAGACTGAATCAACTGGGAAGTGAATCATGCATCAGACCAAATATTATTACATCTGCGTGGCTTCTGCATGACTGCATCTTGAATGCTGTACATTACTTTAACAGACGCATTTCAAGATAACAAAACTATCTGGAAGGTCAATTGCGAACAAAAACAAAGAGTGGTAGTTTGAGAAATGACTATTCTTGATCTGGTGATTGTTCATTATTGGACACTTAAAATTTAAAGAAAAAAAAGAAACAAATCTGTTAAAAATAGCACAAGAACATAAAACACCTTTCATTTGAAATCACTTAACTTATTACAGTTTTTCAGTAAAATTAGGTGTTCTCATTCTTCCTGGCCAATGGGCTGTATACCAATGTAGGTTGTTTAGAAACTAAGCATGATTGACTGAATAAAGAGATAAGGACTGATTTCCTCTGGCTTTGAAAAATTCACACTAGGAACTGTTTCCAGTAAGTTGCATGAAATAACTTTTGATTAATAATCAACATAAACCGTGTTAATCGCATGGCAATGATCTGAGAGGAGAAGGTCAATATTTGATATCAATTATACAAGTGCTATCGCAATGGACTAATGCCATGTTCAAAGTACTGATAATCAATGTCTCTTCTAAAGGTTCACGGGAGAGAGGGTCTTAATGCGGTGGTAAATTTTAGACTTTTTGACGGTTGTATTAACTTCTGTATAAATTAATATCAACTTTTGTGTTTTGTAGGGTGTCTTAGCCTGTTACTTTAAAGAATTCGGAATATTTTCAGGTATAAGCAAGTTAAGGTCTTGTTGTGTCTAAAGATTCTGAGAACTTGGGAATCAATTTTCTAGTTTACAGATTCCTCAGGAACCAGAAGTCCGTGAGGATCAGCTGAAAGAGTGAGATATGAGATACCTGGAAACTTTTTGACGGTTAATATTAATCTGCATTTTTGACGATTGATGGTAAAAATAACCTTTGACGGTCGTTGCTTAAATTTTAGGCTGTTTGACGGCTGACGTTTAACCCCATTGAGACCCTCAGGAAAAACTGACTCTACCAGGGTTTGAGGTATAACTCAGTTAACCAAGCTTTCGATTCTCTATCGCTACGCTCAGCCGAAGAGAAAACGTTTCTGTTATAAGTATGAAGAGACAAGACAACACAATGATAAATGGAGGGAGCCGAAAGCAATCGTCAAGACAAACAAAACAAGCGGGCGCGAGTGCAACATCATGAAAATACTAAATACCTATATTAAGAGTAACAAGAAGTTGGTGCTCGATATCATCACGGCAGTAAACATCCTTTGCTTTATCACTCCTCCAACGACCTTGCTTTTCTTCAGTTAACGAGGCGATCAGGTAATTCATTGTTAGCAGCAGCTGTCGGCCCTTGCCCCAATTCTAAGGGAATGGAGACCATAAAGCTTAGTATCCAATCCAATGGCCTGAAATTTCTGAATAAAGATCTCTGTAGCTCTAGAGTAAGAACGTTTAGAGCCAGCCCGAAGAAAATATCTCCCATTCTTAGTCTTAAAAACTGCGCGAAAAAGAAATTCGGTTGATTACAAACAATCCCCTAGAAGCTGGGCGTGTCTACGCAACGTATTAAGGGCAAGTAGGATTGCGAGTTCTGGCAATCACCCTTGTAGAACCAGAACCATAATGGTCATGCTTACGTTTAGGAATAAAAAGGGAAGAATAGGTATCCTCGAAACTAATGTCACACCATCTAATACTGCAAAGCTCGTTAAAACGCAAAAAAAACAGCAAAACAAACATCCCTTATGTCTGGCAGCAACAACAGCTTGAAAATGGCTTGGACAAATTCGAAGCCTTTTCCTAGGAAAAACCGAGCTGGAAGACTCTTGCAACCTTCCAAAACTGCTTCAGTAAAACCACTATCGCAAGGGCTACTGACCGCGCATGAATTATGGAAAAAATTTAAACTATAAATGGCGGAATTAAAGAAGAAATCGAATAACCAGACTGCAATAAACTAGTGAGGAAAAGGGAAACGTGGGACGCGGAAGCAGAACAAAAGGAAACCTTTACCTTTACCGCCTAGTCCTTCCAGTTATGAAAATATGCCAGGTACCCTTTGACTGTGGAGGGAGCTCTGCTCGTAGCCAGAAGATCAGGAACAAGCATCATCAAAGGCTTTAAGGCATGACCACTCGTGGTGTGAGAATGTGTAAAGAAACAAAAAATATAGGAAAAAGTAAAACTGATGATAACTACGGGATATAGGAAAGAAAAAAGGAAAACCACTAACCACCAAACGTAAACACATACCATAGGCGGCGGAAGCTTCAGCCTCCCCAACTTTTGTAGAATAATAAATAACTTTATTTTATTTTACCTCGGTGAACTCATTATCATTAGGACTATTTTGGAAAGTTCAAGTAAACGTCGAGTCGTCTGTTTAAAATCAAACAACGTACTTAGCCGGTTGGATTAGGAGATTTCATTTTCTTATCCGCACTCCTTCCCTACCCCACCGCCTTATGTAGTTTTTGTTGTCGGCACCATTTAAGATATCATCGGTCCAAAATGTTTTTAGCCTGTTCCCAGTACTGCATTATCCGAACGCCTTGAACGCTACGATGTAGTCGGCGTCTTACAAAAAAAAAAAAAGACAGAAGCCGCCTTTTATTGCGTATTAGGGGGGGGGGGAATTGAATGTCCAATTTATTTTCAGCCCCCCACTTTTTATTTCGCTCCGCCGCCGCTGTCATACATTGAAAAAACATCAAACTAAATCAAGAACAGTTGTACGCTATGAAGCGAGGGGCCCCGGGCCAAATGCAAAAAAGCAACAAATACAGAAAAACAAAAACTAAGAACTTTTAAGCAAAAAAAAAAAAAAAAAAAAAAAAAAAAAAAATGCGTCAACGAAAATAAGGCGCAAAAAACTTTAATCCTAAGGGTCGGCTAACAAAAGACGTAGCACGAAAAAAACACAACTGAACGCTATGAAGCGTGGCCGTTTTTAATTGTCCTTTACAAAATGTAGTAACAAACCCAGAAAAAAGAACGACAAGAACACCGCCACTCAACCTATAAAGCGAGACGTAATTGATACATTATGCAACAAAAGAAAAAAGCGCTATAAAGCGTAAAGGGCCCATACAAAATATGCCAAAATGTGAAGACAAAAAGCATACCCGGCCAACAAACTGATCTTAAAGACCGTTAAAACAAATATAAACACCGGAGGGAGAAACAATAATCCTCTTCTGTGAATAATGATCGAAAAAACAAACAAGGACGCTTTAAAAACAAGCTATGACGCTGTAGAGAGCAAATACAGAGTTTTCCTACCAAATATAAAATATAAAAGATACAAATGAAGATGCCAAAAACCTAACAAGAAAAACATGAACCATCCAAGTATAGAACCAAAACCGCAGATTTAAATCTAAAAGGACAAAAGATAGTATCGTGGTCTGGACGAGCCGGCGCGAAAACAAATGAAGAATTGGAGAATTCAAACAGATGAACTGAATAAGTCACCCTCTTGGACCACCCAATGGAAAAAAGCACGGGCCAGAATGGTGCTGACGGCCACTTAGGGACAAGCAAAACGCCCCGAGCCCTGGACAATTCCAAATGAAAAATTGTGCGCGTAATCAGGAGGATGGGAGGAACCAACGAATTATTCTCATCCGTCCACGGAACAATAAAAGCGTCGTTTTCCTACGCACCGGGGCGCCAAACTTAGAATAAAATCTAGCACACTTAGCCGAATCTGGGGAAGCA